AAAAAAAAAAAACAGTGAGAGCTGCCGAACAATTAAAAAATGATAAGACTTAGAAAAACCACACAGTACTTCTCAGTGAGCCATACAGAAAGCTTCTGAATAGGTCACTGTGCAAAGGCTAATTTATATGAGATATTCGATTTCTTGCGCACATAACACAGCTAAGAAGAGTCCATTAACTGCTTGGATGGGACTACGCTGAAAGCTGTGAAGGCTACCAAAGCATGAAGGGCACTACTATAGTGATAACAGAACGGCGCTTTAATTCAATTTGTATGCATATTTTAGGCTAACCTGCTTGGGCATTCTGGTCGAAGTCATAATAAGCATGGCGGTACAGGACGCATTGGCGGCACGCAAAATACGATCACTGATTAGTTCACGATAAGTTTCACTCGAATCATCCTCATCGTCCTGAAAAATACTTTAAATAATCCGAATCAAAAAAAATTTGTTTAATGAAAACTTAAAAATATTCTAAAATTCACATTTCAAATTGAACAATTCGGTCACATCATTGCAAATTAGATATGCGACCAAAGCAAAAATTGCCGGACTCAATCTGCATGGAACTGCATTATGGGCCTGACCCCCTTATATCATATGTTTATTTTCCTTATTAATTGACTGACTAGTTTCATACTTAAAAAATCTTCAACTTCTTGATTTTATCCAATTCCCCTTATCCACTCGACAGTGCCTGCTAAAATAACTCAGTGCGCGGTAAAAGCTGGAATGGTTTTCGAATGGCACTGGAAAAAAAAGGAACTAAAGAATCGCAGATCTGCAACTCGAAAACAGTCAAACCATGAGATACAAAATTCGTCCAATGTTAGAGCAGTTAGAACGAGAAAATCCATCAATTCTTAAAATATTGGCCGTACTGACTTTCCACGGTAGCTATGACTAAACTGAATGAAATACCTCGTTAAATAGTGGAATGATCGACTGCTCACCGTCGGCACCGATAACATCACGTACATTTTTTTCCAGAATTGTTAACAGTGTAACGAGATGCTCGGAATTCACCTAAATAGTATAAAATTCATACTAAATCCGGCTATCACTTGAATAAGTATAAGTCCTAAAAGCAAAACTCGAATTTGCAGTATGCTGTATTAAAAAATACAGAGAGCCAAAATGCTGTGAAGGCTGACTATACAATACGCGTCAGTAGTTGAATGCAGTGGCGATAAATTTTTCCTTGTTTACGTATTTGAACACTTAACAACTGCACTTTTTATGCGTTTTTTGCAGCTATGCAATGCAGAAAACGCATACTGACGAGAGGTTGTCTGTGTGTGTGTCTGTGTGTCCGTGCGTCTGTGTGTTTGTCTGTACCAATTTTTCATCTCGAGACCAGCAAAAGCTACGGGGCTGAAACTTTGGGGACATAATCTACATGCAAGTACGGA